GCAAGAGGGAGAACTCTTAACTTTCTGTTGCCCACTGTGTAGTGTGGATGGGATCCATCCCTTGGCAGGGAGCAGGGACCTTGCACAGCATCCCCAGGGACCGTTCCCAGGAGAACTCAGACCACTCAGCTCTATGTCAGTCAGTGACAAGGATTATAGGGTCAGATACTCCTGACAAAGTCCAAGGTGGTGGTGAGATAACACTCCCAGCTTCTTCTAGCAGCTCCTCTCCAGTGGCATTTAAACACCCCTTGAATGCAAATCCCAGAGTTTAACACTGACAGAGATCAGGGTTCCTTATGGCTTGGCCTCATAATAAGGGTTAAGAGACATGCTGCGTGCCCACACTCACCCTCGAGGAGTCATGCTCTGAATTTGGACAGGACAGGAATCACGAGGTGAAGGGACCTGCCAAAAATTCATCTAACTACTGGTGGAGGAGGATTTGGTTATTAATATATTATTAATATATGCTGCTATAATTAGCAGCTGGATCCTCAGAATGAAGAAATGAGGAATGAAAATCCAGTTCCTCTTGGGAATGAAGCAGAAGAGAGCAGTGTTCGCTGGAAACATTTACCTAGCACAGCAGGGGATGTTCTGGTGGAGCAGGGCATCAGCCTTGAGGCTGCTGAAGACACAAACCCACCTCAGTCCCGCTCTGGATTTAACCAAGGAACTGGTCAGAATACACTCAAAATCCAGGAAGAGAGGGATGTGTTTCCTGTCTCACAACCTGTCTGCTGCCAAGTGCTATCACCTTGCTGGCATCTTTGTGAGGACCAAGAAGAACACTCACCATCGCAGAATGCAGTTGGAGAAACATAGAGAGGGGGGGATAAGGTCAAATTAAAATCCCAGTTCTTTCAAAGCCAGGCCCCATTGCACATTCAGGAGTGTCCTTTAAAACCAGACACACAACTGAGGGCACAGACGTGCCTTCCAGAAGCTCCCAGGCACAACCAGCCACAGGCTTAGCTGCGTGGTGGCCTCTCAACCTCTGTTGAGAACCTAAACCTTCATAGAATGTGAAAGGTTTCAGCAAGACCCAACCCCTCCAGAGCTTCCTTTCAGCACCAGCTACCTCGTGGCACATTCCAGCTTGGCAGGACCTCCATGCAGCAGGGACACAGCTCCAGGCAGCCTCCAGGAACCTCTAGAGAGGGGCTGCAGTGTAGGAACCCCAGGAGGAGAAGTGACCACAGCGTCCTGCACTGAAGCTACACGGACAAAGTTGTGGGTGAACTTTATGGATGGGCTGTGGGTGGCACTAGAGGCCGCTGTGATCCCGGATGAAGGTGGATAATCCACTGGGCTGCAACCAGCACGACCCCATCATTCCCCATCACCTGCTTGCACCAAGTGGAAACCAAAGGGGTTGTGCAGCAGGAAGAACGAGGTCCATGTGATTGAAGCAACTTGGTCTAGCAAGAGGTGTCCCTGCCCATGGGAGGGGGGTTGGAACTAAATGATCTCAAGGTCCTCTCCAACCCAAACCATTCAATGATTCTATGATCTAGTGTAGGCACAGCATGCACACACTCATAATTCACCCTTAGAAGAGGTAGTGCTGCTTTGAGTTCAGCTGGACACCCTGCATCTGCAGTGTGAGGCAGTTTGACACTGGCAGGAGATCATCAGAACGGGCAAAGAGCAGCGTTGATCCGTGCCTACAGAGCACCCATGAGAAACAAAAGGAAATTGCCTGGCAAATATACTGATATTGACTTGGAGGGTGGCATGAGGCCAGCTCTGGGCACCGGCACAGCACTGCAGCACTACAGAGGGAGGCAGCTGGGCATGTAAATAACCACAGCAGCAGCTTGCTGAACCTCCAGACATCTGGTGCTAACACCAGGCAGTGATTTGCAGGTAGATGAACTGCATCATGTTTCTCCAAAGTGATCTCCCCTGCGCTGCCACCTTTTCTGCTTCTTCTCTCCTCTGCTTTCTAAGAGCCTGAGGCCGGAGTCACACCATTTCCCAGCTACTGGAGCGTTTGCTCACCAATTTAGCTGGGAAACAAGCAGCAGGTAAAGCACCACAGATGAAACTGCAGAGTACAGCATCCAGCTCAGGTGGCAATAAAGACAAGAGGGATGTGGAGCTGTTGAAGTGAGGCCAGAGGAGGCCATGGAGATGCTGCGAGGGCTGGAGCAGCTCTGCTCTGGAGCCAGGCTGAGAGAGCTGGGCTGGGGCAGCCTGGAGAAGAGAAGGCTCCTGAAGGGGAGACCTTAGAGCAGCTCCAGTGCCTAAAGGGGCTGCAGGAAACCTGGAGAGGGGCTTGGGACAAGGGATGTAGGGACAGGCCAAGGGGAATGGCTTGAACCTGCCCGAGGGGAGACTGAGCTGAGCTCTTAGGCAGAAGCTCTTCCCTGCGAGGGTGCTGAGGCGCTGGCACAGGGTGCCCAGAGAAGCTGTGGCTGCCCCATCCCTGGCAGTGCTCAAGGCCAGGTTGGACACAGGGGCTTGGAGCAAGCTGCTCCAGTGGAAGGGGTCCCTGCCCGTGGCAGGGGCTGTAACTGGAGGAGCTTTCAGGTCCCTGCCAACACAAACCAGGCTGTGGGTCTATGAAACACTAGGACGGGTCAGTGTAAGGGTTAGTGGCCACCAAAGGATGCAAAGTAGCGGCCCAGAGCACTTCCCAGCCCTAGCAATCCCTTCTGCTTTAACCTTTTGCCTTCATGCAGATAATTTAAGGCCACAAGTTAGCAGACATCCCTGTGATCTAATATTAGATGATAAGCTTGTTTATGTTTCTGTTGCTAAGAGAAAGCTGGAGCTTTGGAAACACTGAAGCTGACCCAACGCTGCTGCAGCAGCTGCCGGTGGGAACCGAAATCCATGCAGTGCTTCCTGATAACTGCTTGCCATTTTCCGTTTTGGTTTTATTCTACTGGACTTGGTCTCCTTCCAAAATAAGCCTTTCCCATTCAGATGACCCGTCCTGTTCCCCTAGGTCCATGTTTCCTAGTTCAAAAGGTGCAGGCAGCTCCCCAGTCAGTTAAGTACATCCTGCTGTTGGAGCTCACATTCATAAGTGAGGTTCCCTCCACCCACAAGCACAATGCATCATCGCTGCTCTTTTTCCTCTCAGCATCAGCTGAAGGTGGGAGGATTGTTCTGGTGTTTCTCTTCGCATTACCATAATTCACAGGAGATGGTTCTCTAATAAAAATGCAGGGGACAAACAGATCTTCTATAGTATTTATAGAAACTGATTTGGCAAGGAATGCCAATGCAGTAATATTAATAGATGCTCTTTGGGGCATCTACAAGTACTGTCACAGTCAAGTTCCCTGTTTGCAGGCTGCGCCAAAGGTTTAGTGGGCTTTGTGGAGCTAGAGCTTCTGCAGCTTGATTCTGGGCTTGCCAAAACAGGGACACTGCTGTGAAACAGGAAGCGTGAGCCAAGAGCACAACCCTCACTCTGCTCCTCCTCTGCACAACCTCACTTTGCACCGGGGTATCTTTTGGCAGCTCACCTCAATTCAACTGCATGTGACACTAAAGCCAACTGACCTCTAGCAAAACAAGGAGCTTACCCATAATGTTAAACATAAATGTTCTTACAAAGACACTCCAGTAGCTATTTCAAAGTATGTCCCTGCACACAGCGTGGATGAAGGCTGCTCACCTGGAGGCTTGTGATAGCAAAGCATTCCCTGTGCTAGTTCTGGAGAACAGGACCCAAGCCCCACCAGCACTGGAGGTGTGAGTGTGAGAGCACAGCCCACCTTCCCTCCTGGCCACGCTGCAGCTGAAGCCAAGAGAAGCCGGCAGCAGTCCTGGCCTCCCTCCTCGGGAGCTCCACCACCTTCTGCTTTGCAAGCTGATCATTTCCATTATTGCTTTCACGTCTTTTGGCTTCAGGCCACTGAAACACGTCAGAGCACTCTCTCTCCACTCAGGAAGGTAAAAAGTTATTGAGTTTGGAAGGATCCAATTACTGCAAACACCCCATGAACTGGTTGCTGGTCAGAAACAACACAGCTCATCTGGGTTTCATTTATCACCATTTCCTTTCACTGATGCCAGCAGAAGAGAAGTTGCGGAAGTTTATTCTTGTTTGCAGGAATAAATACAGGTCATTTGCTATTCTATACTAAATGCACATTTCCTTCTGTACTTCAGTGCAAATTTCCTTTGAGAAGAGCACCAGCTACCCCAGGTTTATATTTCCTCAGTGTTAAAATACCATCATACGATAAGATAGAAATACCACAAGCAGATCTAGAGTAATTAAAAATGCTGCTACTGCTGCAATAGCCTAGGGTGCAGATGGCAGATTTCTGTTTCTGTACTAAGTCTCCCTTTAAAGTCAATGCAAGCTGATAGAGTGTGGATCACCCCTGTATCACACACCTACTCGCTCCAGGAATGGCTGTTTTCCTCCACTAACTGCAAAGGGAATCCATGGGACTTGTACAGCAAGGACATCTCCACTGGGGCACGTAACTTTGCTGAGCAGAGTCAGGTGGATGGATTTTATCCAACTGAGTCCCAGTCCAATGCTCTTTTTAGATGGGATTAATGTTACAGAACCTACAGAAAGCAGCTACTGGGCTGGCTGTCCTAGGATGGTGAGACACTGGCACAGGGTGCCCAGAGAAGCTGTGGCTGCCCCATCCCTGGCAGTGTTCAAGGCCAGGTTGGACACAGGGGCTTGGAGCAAGCAGCTCTAGTGGAAGGGGTCCCTGCCCATCACAGGGATGGACTTTAAGGTCCCTTCCAACCCAAACCATTCCATGACTCTGTACATAGAGGCATTAGGGACTGAGATTAGTAGCTAAGATGACTACTGAGGAAAAAAGGCAAACAGAAACCCACGAAAACTCCATTTCCCCTACAAGCCAGCGACGAGCCGGTTTAACACCCCACGCTGGAGCAGAGGCAGCAGCCTGTAACGCCATGTTACAGTCCTTACACCCCCACCATCACCACCACGTGAGAGCTGCTCACCAGGAGGACCGACACACACCAGCACTCTGCTCACTGACCTTCGGCGCTCCCTGGCTTCCTCAGCTGAGAAGTCCTTCCCTGCGGGTGAGGCAGCGCCGGCATTCGCAATGCTGTTAGCAGAGCCCAGTACAGCGCGGTTTGTGATTACACCTAGGGGGGTGCTAGCAGAGATGCCCTCTGTATTTTTCTCTGCAGCAGAATCAGTTTGTTGCCTGAAAGGGGCTCTGAAATAGAGAAGACAATAATGGAAAGCAAAGCAAGTGAACTCAAGTGCTGACCCAGAGCAGCCGCCTCAAGGGGAGGGAGCACTGACAGCTCGTCCTCTTCGCTCTAGACTCATGGTTTCATAGAGAACAGCACACAGTTAAACGAGGAGAGGAAAAAGCAGGAGGAATTTACAGTCTTCACATCCCTGTTTGTAGCAAAAATGATTAGGAAATGTACCTGGTGAATAAGCAGAAGGAATGAACTCCGAGAGCTTGTACACTGAATGCCCAAGAGCAGCCTGAGCACAACATGGTCTCTATCAGGGTACCAAGAGGCCACAATTGACCACTCCAGTGAGGGAAGAAGCTATGTAAGGTCCAGGATGGCTGTTAACTGCCTGCTGGTGCACACACACACACTATTGAAACTGTCCAACACGACCATCCTGGGATTGCTTATCAATGCTTCCCGCATGGAAGCCCACTTCCAATCCACAATCTACTCCATAACCTAGAACTTCCAACCCAACTGCTGATTTCCTGCAGTGTTATCTCAGCTGTGAGCTGTTACCTGGTATACTGGCAGGCTGATGCAGTAGTGTTCACACTGAGAGATGTGGGGCAGGAAGAGACAGGTTGCCACGGGGTGCCCAGTGAGGTAGATGAACCAGTGGTAGTGGGTGAGGTAGCTAGAGATGTATTGCGACTGGCTGAAATGTAGGGACTGTTGAGGTCACTACTTCTACCAAATGAAGCACTGTAAAACATCACAAAATCACGTCCTTCAGAGCACAGTCAGTATTCAGCAGAACATCACCCCAGCTGGGCTCTCAGCTGGAAAGGGAGCAAGGATTACATCTTAGCAAACCGTGTGGAAGGCGACTAGGGTACCCCAGAGCAGCAGCACCCTCTGAGCTGAGCCCAGCTGAGTTCTGGGGAGGGAATGACGGTGTGGAGGTGAATCGGTGAAGATCAGGGAAGAGCAAACCCTCCAAGCAGTGGAAGTGGCGCACACGGAGCACCCCTGTGCACTGGGGAAAGGTAGAGACAACGAGCAAGGATGAGGTTGCTTAAAGCAGGGAAGGAGAGAGTGACACAAGCAGGTCTGGCTGCATCATAGAATCATAGAACAGTTAGGGTTGGAAAGGACCTTAAGATCATCAAGTTCCAACCCCCTGCCATGGGCAGGGACACCTTGCTCTAAACCATATTACCCAAGGCCTTGTCCAACCTAGCCTTGAACACTGCCAGGGATAAAAGGGATAAATCATCTCCAAAGGATGTGCAGGACTTCCAGTTTTAAGAACTTATTTTCAGTGGCTTTAAGCCCTGGCAAAGATGATCACATGGGGCATTAATTGTCATTGTTAAGGCACGTTTGGCACAAACTCTGCACTTCTGGAAAACAGCTGGAAAACCTGCTCAGAAAGTACTAAGAATGAGCAAGGGAAATCCGTATCTTGGCAGTTTAAAACACCCCCTTCAAACCATTCTGACTGAAAAGCTGTCAGTGATCAGTGCTCATGCTTCAGAGAAGAGATAGGAGAAAAGGAGCAGGGCTCTCATCTCAGGATGTGCCCTGGGGCTTTCCTGGAGGAAATCCCCCCTCAGTGGGAGAAGCTGCACATCCCTAAATGCAACTCCTTATCGCACGTGCTACAGCCCCATGCATGGGCTGCTCATTGTCTGCACAGCGCAAAGGGGCACCCATGCAAGGTGCAGGGTCCTGTCATGCCTTTCCCAGCAACTGGTATTCCTGGTTGCTGCTGGTCAGTCTGGGCTGCCTGCAGGACCAAAGGCTGGAAGGCTGCCTCTCACTTCCTGCATCCTAACGGCTCCCATGCCACTGCACGCGGAGGAAAGTGGTTGCACCAGGAATAAAAGCTGACCTAAAGGAAAAGCAGCCCAGGACAAAGAGCTGCAAGGTTTATGGGTAAGTCAAGGACAATGGACTGGAATGGGAAGTCAACACCAGAGCGTCAGAGACAGCAGCCCAAGGCTGAAATAAAACTTGAGAGGGGCAGGACAACAGCCCAGGCTGGAGGTTGGAAGAAGGATCCAGCCCAGGTCACTTAGGCACCCAATTTACACATCAGTTTTACATGCCAAGGCCCCAGCCAGCCCAGAACAAGCAGCTGGTCCCTAGACAGCCAAAGGAGAAAAAAGGGCATCCTGGAAGGTCTCCATAGGGAGGAACCTTACATTTGGGCTCTTCAGTTGATGGCTGATTGCCATCTCCAGGCCACAGAGGAACAAGCAAGTTACTGTCATCAGGTAGCAACCTCCACCAGACCCTAAACAACACTTCCTATGGAAAACCAGCCCCTGCTCGGGGGCAGGAAGTGCTCTGGAAGCAAGTGCCTCCCTTCTTGGCTCTCTGCACCAGAGGAAAAGGCCAAGCCCTGGAGACGGGCTGGGAGGAAGGCGGGAGCAGGGAGCAAAGCCTGGCTGGGGTGGGCGTGCGGAGCAAGCGGCCGTGAAGAGACAGGCATATGGAGGAGATGATGGGAATGAAGTGTGTGCCAGGGGAAGGAACAGGAGGAGCTGCAGGGGAAAAGGTGGTGGCAACCCGGGGGGCATCAGGGCTGATGTGGCATCATCTGAGGAGAACCCAAGGTTGGGGATGAGGAGCGGCTGCAAAGAAAGAAAGGAACTTGGTCAGGAAGGGAGGACACGGGAGGGTTATTAAGTAAGACCTGACAATGACTGGCGTTCAGAAGGGAAACAAGAGAACAGAAGCAGCACCAGGTGCCTGGGAGAGGGCAGGTCTGGGGGAAGGAGGAGAAATGGAGGCAAAGAGCATGGTGATGGTGTTGTGCCAGCTCCTATACACACATCCTGCGTTGGAGAAATGAGGTGCTGGGGCATCACAGGCATGCTCCTGCTCCAAGGCAGCCAAGACATTGCCAGCTTCACAGGAATTCACCTTCCCACCCCATCACCCTGCATGGGGGACACTGCACAGCTTGAGGGAGACTCCAAGGCAATTTATGCAATTGTTCACAGTTGATCTGAACAGGATTGCAACAAAGAGGTTAGCTGGGGAATCCTGGTACTTATCAGCTGGGTTCATACAGAGCTGTAAAAGAGGGGAGTGTGAATTTGTGCTAAAGAATTCAACATCAGAAATAAAAAATAGGTACTGACACATTGCTTGCTGCTCATTCTCTAACGTCATCACCATAACTGAATGGGCAATGAAATGGAAAGCAACATTTCAAATCGATCAAAAGCAATACTTCTGAAAACAGCTAAGGCAACTGACTTCCAAATATGAAATCCCCTCAAAGAGCTGCCACATACACTCATTAAAGATCTGCACAAACACAGAACTGGTTGGTTTGTAACACACTGCTGTAGGGTTCTGCAGCGGGCAAAACGGGATTTGCTCAGGGAAGTGGGCCACACTGGTGGCCTTAGGAACAGTGGTCACAGATAGCTCCTGGCTCTTGAACTGGTGACTGCTGGAAGCAAGGTCAGTGTGGGAGGTGGAAGACTGCTCTTCAGACTGTCGGCCTGGCTGGGATGGGCTTAATGTGGGCTTAAAAGCAGTAAGAAAGGAGTATATGCCAATATGTAAAGAGAAACTGTGTGAAAAAGTGGTTTCATTCTGGTGCATGTGATCCCATCCCATGTGGCACCACATAGGCTGACGGCATGGGCAGGATGCTGAATTCATTCCATCTGCTATGCCAGATTTCCTCCAAATCCTTTAATACACAGAACAAGTGAACTGGCTGTTGGAAGGCCAGTATGCACCAAACTGGAGAACAGGCTGTCAAAAGGGTACTGCAGTGGGGGTTAGTGGTACAGCGTGGAGAAAGCAGAATGAATGAGTCTCTACCCTTACACAATGAGCTTTGACATTGGCTTCAACTACGGCTGAAGAACATCTGCAGCACTGCTGAAAGTCAGTGTTCCCTTTTAGAAGAACATCTTCAGATGATCTGCTGCTGTTATCTTTGGTTGGGAGTCATATAAAGCACTTATAGAACATAACCAGGACATGCAGAGGTAAAGAGGAAATGCAGATTAGAGAGGTCACCCTCTCAGTAACATCCAGGTATGTCACATTCACTTTAATTCTTCCTCTCTCAGAACAAGCTTTCATCTTTTGGAACTGTGTTCAGAGTTTTGTTAATACTTTAAAAGAGCTTATCCTTAACACGTAACCAGGTTCCCTCCCTCATCTCAGAGGCTGATGCACACGGATGGAGAAATCAGAGGTTCAACAGGATTATACTTAATTTCTCTGTGCATTTCCTATAGCAAACCAGATGGGATAGATTTCAAATTGATCACAGTTTATCTGTTTGTACATAAAATGGACTGACCTCTTTAAGAAAGGTGCCCTTTATTCCTACCTGGCAAAGCTATTCTCTACAATTGCTTGTAAACCAACACTGCTGTGAAAGGCCCGAATGCAGCCTTTGCAGTAAGAAATCAGTGTTAGTGAAGTACCATTGCCAGCCAAAGCCTTTGCTAGTCTCTGCACAGTTTAACCAAGGAAACACAGTACAACTGTGTGAATGTAGTACTAAATGTGGCTCTGGCTTAGCCCAGATAAACAGGCAGTGTTTGTAGAGTTTCAAGGGGCAGCATGTGAGTGGCTGGCCTGTCTCAGACTAGGGAACAGCAGGGCAGTTTCCAGTGTAATCAGCTGCAGCTTGTCAGACTGCCTTTAGAGAGACACACTATGGAGGCTGTTGGCCCGTCATCATGTCCCAGCATAGATGTGAAGTCACTGGAATGGATCAGCAGATCAGAAGTCTACTGCCTGAAGTGACTGTGTCACCTTTTGTGGGAATGGGTCTGTGTGTGCTCAGCAATTGGACAGACACATCCTTGAGCACGACTTACCTCTACCAGCACAAGTACTGGAACATAGAAACACCTGCCTCTTCCCACAGATCTCAAGCAATTGTCGCATCCTCAGGACAGTTATTTAGTTCAGGGTCTAGAACTTGCTGAAACACGCTCTAACACCTGGAAACATTTCTGTTTTTTCCTTAAGCCCAGATCAAGTGGCTTTGCAGTGTGACGTGTTTATACATGTGGTTTTAATGGGTACAGGTACTGCAAGTTAGAGAAGTTCTGCCCAGGATGCTCTCCTGATGCTGCTGGGCTACCAACAATCAGCCTCCATGATTTCAAATACACTGTGCAGAAAACTGCCTCCTTACTGCCACAAGAAAACAGTTGGAGACATCAGCCTTGCTCCTTACAGCATGTGCTGTGAGTCATGCACAGAACCACCGCCACTTTTCTGATAATGATGCCATAAACATGGACTAATATGAATGAAAATTAGAGATAAGCTGCAACTTACCTGTCAATAGCCACCTGAACAGTGCTTTCAGACTGAAATGCCTTTATTCAGCTTTTATGATCAATCTTTCTTATCTAACCATAATACTAGCCTGAAACTGAGGAAACACTTTCCATTTGAATTGTGTGAACAGGAGTGTTTAAATTCAGCTCAGCAATTTTCAAAACAACAAAAGTGATGGCCTTCAAAAATACCCTTTAGCATGGCAAATGTCAGCAAAGCTTAATCTTTATTCCCTGCTCTCAGCAGAAGAGGGTCCCCCAGCCAGACACACTGATGCAGTGAGCAGCAAGCAGGAGGCTGAAGCTTGGGAGGCTCGTTGAGAGTGGAGCTGCCTGCCTGGGAACACGGGTAAGCCAGGACTGGACATACCTTTTCAAGTAGGTAGACACGTAGGTAGTAGGTGCACCAGAATGAGGAGCTTCATTTCCCTTTGACTCATCCCTCCATGGCTGCCGCGTGTAGGAGCCGCTCCGCACCAGGTTAACAGCTGATTCCCTGATGCACGACAAAGCACAGGGGTTGCTCAGAACTCCTGGAGTCTGTTTCTGTCTCCTTTGCAGTTCCACAATACAAATCCTTCCCTTACACCTCCATTGTTCATGGTGATAGAACTCCCTGAAATGGCCCTTCTGGCCTTACCAGCTTCAGCTGGATTGCTAAAGAATCACTTTTGCATCAAGAGGGGCAAGATCCTTTTTAGTCAGAAAACTTGCAATTGAAATTTCGATTGTCCATAAAAGTGATTTAACATATTAAATAATGTCATTTTATATTCTCTCTGCCATCTTACATCAAGCAGCATTACAGAAATACACAGATACTGCAACTGCAGGGGAAGCTTTTATCTCCAAGGTGTCCAGGCAGTGACAGTAAAGCAATTCAGCCTTTGCTGTACTCAGCAGCAGCAAACAACAAACAAAATACTTGGCAACATCTAAAACTACTGGATGATAAATTACCAGTGGTTACCAATAAATTACCAGTAGTCACCAATAAATTGCCAGTAGTCCTATTTATCACAGTTATCTGAAATCAGGGCTCCTTTTCCTAAGACACACTTAGGCTGTACGTCCTTTCCTTTTCTGGTCTTGGACAGGACCTTGAGCTTGCAATGCAACACAAATCCATTCAGTCAGCCTGCAATCAGTTTTCATTTTTCAGCTGCTGATGCCCTTTCAGACACCTGTGGGACCTGTGAATTGAAACTCAGCTGCTCTGAAAGGAAAGAATACTGGGAGAAGTCTGTACTACACAGCAGGGCTGGGTACCATCTGTTCACGCAGCTGGTTCTCCTTATTCCTGCTTTACCAAGCAAAGGACACTCATCAGCAGGCAGCTGGATGTGCCACTCAATGGAGCCACTGCCAAAACTGCTCAGGCTTATCAGCAGACACAAATTGTCTGCTAAACTCCACATCACAGTGACTGGCTGAGATTAGAAGCAAGAACCCCGCAGGGAGGTTCTAGCAAAAGACCAGCAAAGAGTCTCAAACTGTGCTATATTCTCTCCGTGTGGTCACGGGCTGTGACTTGCTTCCAGTCACAGTGACTGCTCTAGAGGTGCCTTTCCACCAGGATTGTGGAATTGGCTAGAAATGAGGCTAAGCTCAGATTTTACTCCTAGTAGAAACTGTGAAGAACCTGTTTGTAGAGATTAGCTCCTCAAATGTACCTTGAGATACTCGGTATTTATCCCATTTATACCGTGGCTCTGTCCATGGCCAATTTCACACACTCACCAAGTGTTCCCAAGCCCTGCAATGGCAACAGCTCCATATATAAGAGAGTTCTCATACTCGAGTGAATCAAAATATGACAGATATGTGAACAAAGGAACTGAAGGTGACTGTGGAGCAAGGGACAGAAGTACAAGTGTAGGTGCCAGCTACCAAATGAAGCACTTGCATCTAAAAGCTAAAACCACCCATAAATCTGGTTTCCTGGATGGAGACTGCAGATGTATGAATACAGGGTGGAGAAACCAGCCTCTGGCCCTGCTCACCTCAGTGAAAAGCAACATGCCAGAACCTGTCTGGATCAGAGCTAGCTCTCAACACTGTGATTTCCTGTGCACTTGGGGCTGCTGAGAACACAGATGACGCAGGACTACAGAGAAAAGTCAACAGGACAGAAGCTGAGCATTAAGTTCTTACCTGTTTTCTTTTTCTTCTATATCACTCGTACTGCTTAGTCTTCTGGGGGCTATTGTGGCAAAATAGCTCTTGTTGTCTTTATCCTGGTGAAGCAAGAGAAGTACTTCAGCTGCACATCCGTTACACTTCCAGCATGTTCAGTGTCAACTAAATTCAAGTTCAGTTTCTTTCTTAAGCATTCTCCTGCCCAAGGATAACTGTTTTAAGGTGTTTACTTGGGCAACACAAACCACAGCACAGATGTATCAGTTCTGAAAATGATTTCCTAAAGAGCACACTAATGAAAAAGAGCAGCTTTCAACCAGAACTGCTTCTAAATCATAGAATCATAGAACAGTTTGTGTTGGAAGGGACATTTAAACCTCATCTAATCCAAACCTCCTGCAACGAGCAGGGACATCTTTAGATCGGGTTGCTCAGAACTACATCCTGCCCGGTCTTCGATGTCTTCAGGGATGGGGCATCTACCCATGGGCAGCAAAGTTACAGCTAGTGAGTATGTGTGATGAGATTCACAAATACAGGAGGAATCTGTACAGATGGCAAAGGAGGAGGATTTCCACTGCAGGTATGTGCTGCTGTCTGGATTAGATATTTTCTGGTAAAGGACGTGCCACAGCAGCCCTTGTCCACTGGCTGCCCACTCCAAACTGAGCAGGAATTAGGTTAAAGAGGCAGTGAACTGCAGCTCTGTATGAACAACTGATAGAATAGGAATAATTTTCAAAAGAAAAAGAAAGGATGAAAAGCCTTCATTTTGTTCTGGACACAAATCCCAGCAAGAACTCACAACAAAAGGGAAAGGGTCTTAAACCTGGGAGGTAAAGTCTGCCCAACTGCGATGCACTAAAACCTCTTTGTTGCAAGCCAAACCTTTTCTTTGCTGTCCAACAGTGCAGAGATGCGAGGGCTCGAGGAAGAGCGATAGATAGAAGCAGTTTTATCTCTCTGTGCCTCCCGAGTAGCAGCGACTTCGCTCAGCATGTTGTGACTGCCCGTCTTCCGCAGCCCCAGCCGCCACGACGAAGGCGACTCGTCCTTCTGCTCCTCGGCCTTGCTGAGCCAACTGAACTGCAGAGGAGAGCAAGGGACATGTGGAAGAAGTGAGAGCACTGCAAGGCACCATCTAAGTTCTGACAGCGTTTCAACAAGCCCCAGTTTTTGCTGGGCCACACTTGTAAAGCTTGCAAATGACTTCAGTTTCCTGCTTAGCTTTAATCACAGAACACGGCTCAAGGTGAACTCACAGGGATGCAAACTGTCCTCACCCCCGAGGACAGACGATAAAAGAGATCTTGTGTCACTGTGCAGCTTCCTTTCCCTACACAATGCCCTCCTCCAGCTTTGCAGAAAGAATATAAGGAACAATGAAGCTTTTATTAACACTCATTTAGGAAGGGGGAATTATTCAGTAAAGGCAGAAACCAAAAAAAATAATCAACTCTTTTGGGACTAGCTGCAAATAAAACCCTTTCACAAACCAAACTGGAGAGAGTCCAGGAGAAAGCCATGACGATCATCAGGGAGCTGGAGCCTACAACACATAATGGGAGAGACTGAGGAAATCTGACTTGTGTAGCATTGAAAAGAGAAGGAAAGGAAAGGGTTTCCCTGCTCTGCTGCCTGGGGGTGGGGTTCACATGGGATATGGGCCCGGACTTCTCAACAGTCTGCAGTGAAAGAACAACAGCCAAGTTCCAATGTGGGACATCCCAACTGATGGGAAGGGAGGGATCCCTCCTGGTAGGAGTGATGCTGCACTAGGAGCAAGAGAGTGGGGCCTCCCCATCCTTTTTAATACTTAGCTGAGCTCAGGTTGTTCAAAACAACAGGACAAAGTCTTGAACCTGGCCCTGTTTCCAGCAAGAGGCTGGTCTACAGGCTTGCAGAGGCCTGTTTCAGCTTAAACCTTTCCATGGTCACGTAACTGCATGTTCTATACATAGTACAGAACGGACCTTCATGCTTGTTGCTACATGAAGCACTTCTGATGAGCATATATTATTCCTCAAATATGCAACTGCTCAAATGTACAACTCGAGTCATAGTTATCAAGTCTTAGAAAAAGATGCCATTTGAGAATGGAGCCTGAGCACTGTAAGAGACACTTCTACAAAGACACAGGCTCACCACCGAGTTGTATAGGAAGTAAAGCAAGCGAAACATTAGGAATTATTGGAAAAGAACAGAATACAAGACAGAACATGATTCTGCCTCTGTATTACTGCAGGGTACATCCCATCTTTGGTATCATACACAGCTTGGCCCCACAGCTCAAAAGCACTAAAGAAGAAGGGGAAGAGATTCAGAGAAAGGCAACAAGAATGAGTACAGCAAGAGAGCTTTTGTATGAGGAGATATTCAGTATATCAGGAGACTCCAGGCTAGGACATAGCCAAGGTGCACAAGCCCTGCAGTGGCACACAGAAGGGTGAATAAGGATCAATTACTCCTTGTTCCTTCCCATAAAGGAACTAGGGACAGCAAACAAAACCAGTGTGGCAGGAACAGGCACAGGAAGCTCTGTGTAATATGTAATTAAGCTGCAGAACCCTTTGCCACTGGACATTATATGATCCCAAACATCATGGGTACTCAAAAAGTGACTGCAGGAATTCATAGAGGAAAAGTCCAAGAGGGGCTGATGAATACAAAAAATACCCCACGTTCAGCAAGTCCCTGAAATGTGAATTGCCAGGAGGTAGGAGAGAAGTCCTGCTTCTCTCTTCTCTCATATCTTTTGATGCTCACTGGCAAGGGCAGGATACTGGGGTAGACAAGGCTTTTGGCAAAAGCTGTATAAGCATTACTTGACATATACCTTATTGAACATGACACAAAACATCTGACACTATGCAGAATGAATGAAGCTACTGGGGAGCTCTGCCCTCAAACTCACTGACTCAAGACTGCAAAGGTAAAACTATCACTGCAGTACTTCAGTGATGTTTCTTAGCTGATGGTACTTTAATGCAGGTACAAAGACTTAATCTATGCTCCGCTAATTCGAGCACTTCCAGTCTACTGAGCTCCACAGCTCTAACACTTTAATGCAGTTTTGACACTTGCCTCAGAGAAAGCTCAAATCTGCAGGAAAAGAAAAGCTGCCTTCTGAGATTGCACAGGAACAGCACATGTGAATAACTCCTCAAATGGAGCGCAACACAAGCTCTCCTACTTTCCAGTGTAAAACCCAGCCTGACAGTTACAGAAGAATCAAACAGGTCAGAGAAGGGAAAGTAGCTGATCTCAAGTGACTGAGGTCAAATTAACAACTGCTTTGCACACAGACTCACTTCTATATCCCAACAGCCTTATTCTGGGTTAAACAGCTCAGATGAGGGAGAACAAAACTCTGCAGCTAGGAAAAGGTTAACTGACTTGCTCACACTTCCCAGTTTCATACTTCCCGGGCTAAATTAGCCTGAGTTGAACAACACCCAGAGGAGCTCTATTTCATTTGATCTTGACAAGAAGCTAAGACTCAGTAGCATGTCAAAGATAAAAAAATCATGATTAAGCAAGAAACATTTTCCCTCTAACAAGTACCCAGTGCTCCAGCCTTTGGCAAGGTGCCTGCATTGTACAGCTCCTCTCCGTATTCTGGTGCAAAAAGAAACCAGAAGTGGAAGATACCAGTCCTCAGCAGAACACTGAGTCTCCTGGTGCCATCTAGCTGAGTGACGGGAGAGCTGGAGAGCTCAGATAAGATTTCAGTAAGTCTGCTTCACCTTTAAAATGCTTTCATAGCCTAGCTGTCTAGTCAGATGCAAACTTTATCCTCTCTGCTTACTGGGCTGTAACATCATGCCACTGAAACAAGGGAGTTTGGCAGGTCAGAGGCACTTTAGATGATGATGCCAAATTCACTGCTGATACATCAGCAGGAACCAGCTTTGGTGAAAGATCTGCTGGCCAAAGATTGGCATCAGGTATCTGAGAACTGACAACGCCACAAAGCACTTGTGGTAAGCTGGGTTTCTCATTTGAACAGTGCAATTGGAAGGTAAGAGATTCAAGAGGAACCTTATTGTGCAGACATCCTCCTTCATGCCAGTCCTATACTGTTAACAGAGTTTTATCAACATTGCATACTATCATGCTTTCCTACATTCAAGTCTTACAACACCTCTGAAAATCAGAGCATCCATTTCCCAGTAGAACCTACTGCTCGCCAGCACTGCTGGAGTCCCCATTGATTCCAAATTCACTTACTCTTCTGGCAGATGCAGTGAAGGAGTTGGGCTCAGGTGGTGGTATTTGCTCAGTGATGCTAGGCCTGGTTTCATGGCTGGAGTGGTTGGCAAAGGGCTCTTCCTTCCTTTCTACAATTTTAAACAAGAAGACAAACCAAGTGTTTCAGTATTGTGTTTCCAAAGCCCCTCTTTACAAGCACAGTGTGCACTACACTCAAGTTCAGCCTTGCTGTGACCTCAATACACCTCCGACCATAGATGATGCCAGTTCCAGGGTGAACCAGGGCTTTCTGCAAGGAGGCTTCCACTTCTGAACAAATACGATGGACACATTTGCCAGGCAAAGATTTGAACTTCATCCCCACAGCCAAGCAGAAAGCACCCGCAGGAGGACAAACAGATTCTTTGTTGACTCATGTTTTGTTTCCTCTCAGGGGTTGTTCTCCCCTTGTAAAACTTGGGAAGAGCAGAACGTGCCATTCCCGGTGCAGCACACGAGTGCACTCACAGCACGCAGGGGATGCGTTTCATCACTCAGTTCTGCTGCAGCTCTTTATGCCGGGGGCAGAATTTCTGGTCTTCTACAGCAAAATCCATTTTTCTACATGCAGCCAGGACTGACACCCAGCACAAAAACATTTAACAGGGCTCAAAGCAAGTTAAACCAACCCTACCAAAGCTCCCAGCTGGCTCCCCGCTTGGTGGACAAGTGCAATCATCCAGGATTACATTTAACTTTTATATCTATGCACCATGCTTCACATAAGAACATCCTCATCAGTGTTTACAAATATGTAACGGGGGGGGTGTCAGGATGATGGAGCTAGGCTTTTTTCAGTGATATCCAGTGATAGGACAAGGGGCAATGGGTGTAAACTGGAGCATAGAAGGTTCCACGTTAACATCAGGAAGAACTTCTTTACTGTGAGAGTGACAGAGCACTGGAACAGGTTGCCCAGGGGGGTTGTGGGGTCTCCCACATTGGAGATATTCAAGGCCCGCCAGGACAAGTTCCTGTGTGATGTACTGTAGGTTACCCTGCTCTTGCAGGGGGGTTGGACCAGAGGATCTCTTGAGGTCCCTTCCAACCCTTGGGATTCTGTGATTCTGTGATCCACCAGACATGACCAGGGCAGAGGAAGTGGAAACTTGTGTCTCAGGCAATAGGTTTGGTCATCAGGAGCGCACAGGGCTCTAAGACAGGCTATTTACCAAACACAGCCACATGCAACGTGCCTGAGAAATGAGGTACCCACAGCAAGAGAACACTGCCTCTCGCAGCTCTGAGTGCCTCATGCAGTCATGGGTTTGAAAAAATAAAGTCATTTGAAGTGCAAGCACCCAACCAGTACTAGGAAATGAGGTGTGTGCAGTGAGTAAAGATCTGCCATTGCACATAAAAGCAGTTTGGTATGGAGCATCTGTGAGAATGGCACCTTGCAGCGCAAAGATCAATCTTCGTGAAACGAATGTTCTCACTCCTAGAAAACAGCATTCACAGGGCATGGGAGACAGAAAAGAGCAAGCCAAAGATAAAAATAACAGGCAGTTAGCAGGACTGACAGATCCAGAATGAGAGAGACGAAGACACATCTCCCCTAGAAAGGGCTGCATGATAGTGAAGTCTCAGCCGCTTTTCCTTCTCTAGGTATTACCTCAGAACAAAGTCACCTAAACAGAGTATTTCACTCCTTGAGCCTAAAGCTCAGATGCACTGCACTTTCAAACAGCCTGTTTAGGACAGGGCAGTAGACTACCCCATTTCTCCTTGCAGACCTGACTTGGCATACAGCACTCCATGGAAATACATACAGACAAAACATCCCACACTTGCCATGTGCTGACTTCTTAAGACTGAAGCCTGTAAAACCCAGGAGAAGCCTCGACACTGCAGGGAGGGGAGAACAGAAGTGACCTGAGGGCCAGCAGGATCTACAGGCTGGGCTGGGTGGTGGCTCGAGCCCGCTCTGGCAGTTTATAGTACAGAGGTCAGCATTTAAGGTTCAGCCTAATGACAAGGGCACAAGCTGAAGGGGTAATGACAGGCTGGAGAGAACTCTAACTGTGAGCAAGGTGGCTGAAAGGAGCCAGGTGCAGGAGAAGGACAGGGAAAAGCACCTTGCACTGGCAGCACTAGTGATTGCATGACCAGGGGCATCGCTGCCTCCAAGGCAGGATCACACACTGCCTTTTACTGAAGTTCAGCAATAAACATCACAGACTCACAGAACCATAGAATGAATGAGGTTGGAAAAGACCTTTAGGATCATCAAGTCCAACATTCACCCCAGGACTTCCAAGTCCATCATTAAACCATGTCAAAATTCTTATCAAGGAAACTGGTGTGGATGAGTTCAATGTCCCCAAAACAAATTTGGTGAGACTAAAACATTTAGTTCTCTGATTTGACATAAATATCATATTTCTTAAGTTTTTTTTGGGGGGGTTCTTTTAAAAACCAAACCAAAACCAAACTAAAACCCCAAACCAACACTGAAAGCTTCCCTGGCCTTCTTGAATTCACATTAATTACAGACTGGAATGGTTACCAGCACAGACAATGATCATAGAATTTTAGACTGATCTTTCACTTGTTGACATGCAACCCCATGGCAAATTGTTAACTGTCCTCATGATGAATAAAGTGTCATTAATGCACTCAGCCTCCTTGGTCTGATGAACTCATAACAGTATTTTGGCTTTTTTTTCCCCCTTCATCTGCACTTTGGACACTGTAGAACAACAGCTGTCTTCTCTTTGTCCAGCACTGCTCAGAATTACAAAGCCAAGTAAATATAAAATCACAGAAGACGATGAAGAGGAATAAGGGAATAATTTCCACGTTTTCCAAAAGATGCCTCCTGTATCCATTCAAGCATTTACAAGGTCTAGCAGATAATAAAGCATAACTGCTCCTAATTAAACCAGCAATAATGTGACACTTATAATTTCCTATGAAAAGGTATCTGCATCCCTACTTCTCTTTGGAGTCCTCCTATAACATCTGGGCTGATGCTGCTATCTCATGATTCATGTTTGAAGAGGATTACCAATGTTGTGCTGCACCCAGTGGGACAAGTCCCTGTGCATCTTGTTAGAGATGTAAGAAGCTTTACAGAGTTGAGTCCCAGTTCTGATTGGGATTTCTCCAAGGAGCCAACAATCTCTCTAGGAAGAGAGAGCATCAAAGACTGATGCTTAATTGTTTATCGAATGCTTCCTGTCTTCAACCTGGTTTAGCTTTACTGGTTTGCAATAGATAAGTAGAACAGTGAATTAACTTAGTAAAAAGACCTGCTTTGGCTCCAGTCAAAATTCATGCTTAGTGCTGTAGCTCTTCCCTTGCTGAGGGACCTTACATACCCTGAATCAGTTGAACACCACATAGGTCCACTTCTTCCAGCTCTGGTCAAGTTCCTATCATGTTTACAAGCATTGGCACATAGCTATATAGGGCTGCTCTCTCGTAAAACCCTTAGTTATGGAGCAAATAAAGGTGATTTCTACTGCATATATGTTTCTGCCACTGACTTCTCCACTACATTTGCTTGATTTAAAAGCCAAAAGGATACTTCACTGTGTTACTGTCATACCCAAATAGCTTTTGCGACTACGAGCTCTGCAAAGACCAGCCAGGACTCTCAGCACCTCTCATACTGGGATAAACATGGTAACTGACACCATTAGAATGGGGGTGACAATTTTACTGGCAAAAGAAATGGGACAAAACTTTAAACTCCACTTCTCTGCAAGAACTCAATGATCTTAAAGGTCTTGTCCAACCCAAATTGTTCTATGATTCTATAACTTATTTATTAGTACATTGGGATAGAGGGCAAGTAAGCTTATGTTGGGAGTAATTTAACCATTAAATACATCATCCCAAGATCCATCTCTCTTTGTAGAAACATTAAGTAAGAGTCAGTCTTGGCTTACTGTAAAAATAAGCCTCTTCACTCACACTTCCTGTGCTGCACATATAGGCTATTGCAACTAATTAAGGAAACCACAGTAGTTACAGATAAAGAATGGGAGTGGGATGCCAGCACTATGCTGTAATGTGAAGGCTAACGTGACTCCGTGTACTTAATCCTTCTTTTCTACTATGTCTTGTAATTATTATACATCAGCAACAGAAAAAAAGCTCCTCATCCCTATAATTACAGGGCAGCTTCAGCCCTTCATTTCACTTCTCTGATCCAAATACAACAGGCTGTTACCTTCCTACACATTCAATTGCTTTCCTACCAACTTGCAGTAACTGAAGTATTCATCCTGAACCCACCCAACACAAAAGAGCCTTGTGTTGAAGAACAACCTATGGACAAAGTGTTACCTTAACTTCCAGTGAGCTGGAAGTAGAAATTAAAATCCTGCCCTCAGCTACAGAGCTCTCCTTATTCTATACATATACACGTATGTATAGAATATACATATTCAGGATGTCTTTGAGAACTAAGCAAACTGATCCCCTAATCCTGCTAGGCTAATTTTTAAATCCAAGTCTGTACAAAGTCTTACCTGATTCCTTTTCAGCATCTGATTCTGAAACTTCATCTTCTTCAGCTTCTTCCTCCTCTTCAGAACTAGAACTGCTAGAGTCCTTGTTCTCTTCCTCCATCTCCATGGACTTCAGTGTGTCTTCCTCATACAGAATCTTCTCCTTGCTGCAAGACAGAGACATTTTAAGGACTGCCAGGCAAGAGAGTTACTTCTGAGTTTTACTTCTCAGGAACACACATGATTTGCCACATACAGAACAAGCAAAAGGACAGAATCCATCGACAGGCTCAACCCATTTTCCATGGATTCCAACACCAGTCTCACGTTTCCTAAATTTGCCAGCATTTCTGAGTCCAAGGACATGTGGCTTCTCAACCATTGGCTGGGCTCTGGGCAATTACAAAGGTGCAGTTCTCAGCCCAAACTGATGCTCAGCAAGAGCAGAAGCTGGGGTCCCAGCACCAGCCCCACTCCTTGTTCTACCACTCAGTAGAGATGTTAAGAAACAGTATAAATGGTATAGAGAGAGCTTACACTTAAACCATGAAATGAACCTGAACACCAGTGACTGCTAAGATATGAACCTGGGGTCCCAGTACTCCCTGTGTAGATTCTTTACAACAAAGAGGAAAGACGTACTTGGGGAAGAGTCTGCTTTGAGGCTTGCCATTCATATCAGCTTCAATCAGTTTATTCCTCGTCTCCTTCTCACTTCGCAACTGTCAGAAAGTCCAAGGAATGTGGAGAAAGAAGGAAAAGAGACACTTTAACAAACCTCCTCTGCATCATCCAATCATTACCACAGCATAAGGTCATCCCACCCTCATGGATTTGTTGAAGGAGCCAATGCAGATGCACATCTGCAGGAGCACCGGATGTCCTGGACTACAGCTCCACACTAGCAGGTCCCTAGACTCCAGCTGCAATTTAATAACACCTTCAGTGAAGCTGGCAGCAGGGACCTGAAGCCAAATCCCATTTCCACAGCACTGTCCTGCATCTGCCCATGCAGACACAGCACAGGGGGTCTGTCCACACTGTTTGTATGCCCAGGAAATGAGGCTAAATTCATTACAATCTGCTCCCTTTGTAGCTATTCTTGATTTGCTCCCAGAGGAAAGCATTCCCTGCACAGGCAGCCAACGGATCTCCCATAAGGTTGGGGCACTTCTATGTCTCTCAAATGCCAGCATTAAGTCATGGCACAAGAATACCTGTGACCATCACAGCCACTGAAATATGCTGCCCAGAGAGCAGCAACAGTCATTTTTGTTACCAGTGATGGACAGAACAGTAATCAAACACTGTGATCAGTACCTTCCAGAAGCACAGACAAAGCACAGGTAGAAAAAAGGATGGCAATCAGTGTCTCACTTCTAAGGCTGCCTCTGTGTCATGTCTAGCCTAGTTTTCCTTTTCCTTTGATAGGAAGTGACAACAGGCACAAGCAGCAGAAGCTCTGCAAATTCTGGATGTGGGAGAAGCCACATGGAGTGCAGGCAAGGAGACAAGGTTTAGGGTAGAGCATGGTGCAAAATAGAACAAACTGCTGGAGCACAGTGAAGGGGAGTGCAGGAAAGAGCCTGCTCCATTCACAGGTTTTTCAGAGATTAGAGAAAAAAAAACAGACCCAAATGAGTTGCTTCCAGCAAGCAAAATCTCCCCTTCCCTCCAATAACAGCAGCAAATCTTTTAGCAAGGATGGGATGTTGTTCTGCTACGAGCTTTAGATTAAAACTAAATCTGATTTGAGAAGCATTCTGGAAGTGAAATAATGTACTTGGAGGAATCAGAACCCAGCCTGGTTTGTGTTGGAAAGGGCCTTAAGGCTCGTCCAGTTCCACTCCCTGCCATGGGCAGGGACACCTTCCACTGGAGCAGGCTGAACTGCCTGCTGCAGCCTTCTCAAACGTACATTTTCTGTTTGAAGTGATAAAAATGGCCCATGCCAAATACACCAGATAAAATGGCATGTTATTAAAAAAAACATATCCAGTAAAACCAAAATGTGATTCAATATGGATTCTTCTATTTACTAAATGGAGAAGGCTTTTTATAGTGCTGCTATATAGAGCAAGGGGGTTGCCAGCCCCTGGGATACAGGACTGACAATTCATGTCTCTGTTTTGCTGCTTCCTTTCTATTTTACTGAGGAGTGCAGTGATCTGCAGCACCCCGGTGCAGTGAGATCGGAGGAAACCCAAACCACAACCCTGATAGTATTTATCAACACCTCATTTAGGGAGAAGCTGATTAATTTGTAAGAAGTTGCAGTGAACATTCAGGCTGCTATTTAGGGATGGCAGCAGCTGTGTTGTGAGCAGAGCTCCGGCTCTGCCACCCACATTGTCAGTTCCTCAAAATACTTCACTGGGTTTTATCAGCAGTGCTCTCATTATGTCTGGTTCTGGATCCAGCCGTTTCAGTGATACTCAGTGATTGATTTTTGTTTTACTAAGAAGCTTGGTTTGTTTCTTGGGAACACCCAAATGGGATAATTGCACAGGCCAGATGAAACAAGAAAAAGCACAATCCAACCCCGACTTTCTGACTTTTCTTTGATGGAGATAAATTTCTGCTTTCCTTTTTTATGTCAGCTCTCTGCTTATAACCCCTTTCCATCTCTCCACTGCATTATGAAATGGCAATTTGAAATGGTTTTGAAACCACCATTTCTTTTAGTCCAGAATTCCCTGGAGTTTGCAATATTTTCTCACTCACTCAGAAGCCTCCATGTTGTAAGCAAGGCAGACATGGCAAGAGATCTCTCAACAGTGACAGCAGACTTCCTTGGATGCAAATACAAAGTTGATTCGTGTAATAGCTCAGTAAAAGCAGTTTGATGCTTGAGAGCTTACCAGCTAGCAAAAGGAACTGCAGCATTGTAATTCCAAAGATGAACTAGACATGCCTTACCAGTTTGCATAATTCTGTGCGTCAGCACCCAACTGACCTTGGTGCAGTCACCCCGTTTTCCAGATTTCTGGCTATTGGTGTAATTAAAGATTCCAAATGACTAACATGAAAAAAACAGCTGAGCCTCAGCTTCCTGCGTCTGTTGATGCCACATGTCTTAGAGAATACCCGTGCATGAAAAGGTAATTGGAGAGGTGGAAAATGATCTGCCAGAAACTCACCACAGTCTGTTTCTTCTGCAGCATTTCTAAATGCTCCACCAGTCCCTCATCAGCCACGTCGAACGGCGTCTGGCCCTGAGGCAAGGGGAGAAGACAAGAGGATATCCGATACAGCGTGGTGTTAGTATTCACCAGTGAAGAACAAAAGTGAACATGCTCCACACCCTGCCTCCCAAGCACTGAGTAACATACTCTGCTTCACTTCAGAGTAGAGAAAGCCACACAACAGTGATGGTAGCTTCATGACTCAATCCATGACCAGAGCAACCTTAATCATGGAAGAGCCGTTCCCTGATTGCTGCTGCTCAAACCTAACAGCCAGGACTAATAGATCTGAGTTTCCAGGTTTCTATAAAAGGACACTCTTGTAGTGATAAGGAATGTGAACAACTACTGTATCATTGTGTATCTGAACCTCCTGAAAGGCTGCCAGTCATCAGCGAGCCATTGTCACGGCATTAGATCAGTGGTGGGCAATAAAGTTGATATTAATCTGGCTATCAAACAGATTGCACAAGTTGTGCCAACACCTTTACATACTAACCAGCTTGTTCCTGATGTCCATATCGCACAGGGCCTCAGCCAGGATGGAGCAAGCTTCCTTGACTCCCCAGTGTGCAGCAGCATGGAGTGGCGTCCAGCCATCACTGTCCTGGACATTCAAATTAAACCCAGCCTGGATCAAGAGCCTGAGGAAAGAAGCAATATTGATTTCTGCCCACCTGAGAATGGCTTCTTGACACAGCCGAGTTCACACATGAGCCACAGGATAGCAGCACAGTCTACAATAAGCCTGTAGGTCCTTGTTTATTCACCTCAGCAACATCCCACTTGATGGGCTTGCTACAGCAACAGGAAAGAGCAGTAAATGAACAGTGACTTCACTGTAAAACCTGCTGGATGTGTCTAACTGATAAGGCTCCCTTCCAGCACATCCTAAACTGGGAGAACATCTTAATTTCTAACCTGATGTCAGTGACCCAGGCTGAACTCCTGCTTTGATGGACAGGACACCAGACTCGCTCGGCACTAAGCAAACACCCCTGCTGACTGCCATCTCCATAACAAGGAGCCAAGCCCAGTACCTGGCAGGGAAAGGACATTTGGTAACTGGAGCTCAGTCTTGGCTCTTAACTAGAGAGCCAGGACACACTGCAGGAACGGTCCCTGAGGAGATGGTGCCTGGTGACGCAGTGACATTATTGCGACTGACAGATGTGAAATGTGTAGGTTAAATAACCCACATTTGGGTTAAATAACCTAAAATGCATTTTTGCGAACTAGTCCTCGCACACCCTGATATTACATAGAGTGCTTCATAGCATGTGGAGCTTGAATATTTCAAATAGAAGAGAGCCAACAGCAGTCAAGCTTCACAGACACACGTCTGTTATACCAGTGATCAGATGGAAGTACTGAGCAGCTCATAGATCAAAACTATTATCCAAGTTGCTTAAGTACTAAAGAACATCCATAGGGAATTCTGCAAGTCCAGTAAAACTCCTATAGAAAATTTCCATTGTGGGTAATTCCACCACCTTCCTGCAGCACAAGCGAAATCCAGCACAGCCCCAGAGTGGCAGCAGTTCCCAGGTTGGAAGCTCCTGCAGCCTTACACTGATGTGTTACTGCGCTAAATAAAACCCAGTCACACTCTAGCAGCAGTGTTCCTCTGTGAAAGAAACTTTCAATTAGATGCTGACTTTATGTTGATTTTCCAGCTGGCAAAAGTGGGGAACAAAAGCCTCAAGGTCACAAATTCCACATCTCAGTTGAGAGTTTGCGAGCTCCTGGCTCTCAGCCCCTTTGGTTTAAGTCACTGAAGCTGTCTATGTGAACTTGCAGATAAATATACACCAGAGTGAAACAATGACAGCTTTCTGTGAGATCTGTTTATCATTATAACAATTAATGGTAAGGAGCAGCTGTCCAGAACTGACTCACCCTGCAGACAGTGAATACTCATTGGGGAGTACTGGATATACAACCCTCCACTGAAAGTCCTTGGGACCAACACCTCAAATTCAGGAGACAGTACATTCCTAGTCCACATAAGCTGTGTTACATTACTGTTCTTGGGCATGGCATAGGCACAGACAGCTTATAACTCAATTATGAGCTTTAAAGAAAGAATACAAATAGGAAACAGAGAACAAAATTACTATAGCTTGGTAAGAAACAGCTCTTACACATCAAGTCAGGCCACTTAAAACTATGAAATCAAGGCTCAAGATAGATGAACGCTTCCAGAAAGGATTTTAACGTGGAAAATAGAGTAACCCTGCTGATGTTTATGGGCAGCTCCACCCAGACATAAAGAGTAGAGAAGAAAGCTTTATTGTTGGGAACCTTAACTTGACCTTACCTGTGAAAATATTAATGCTTTATGGCCAATAAAAACTACGTTGGGCAAGTTTCTGCTCTCAAGCAGCTTGTTTGTGCCAGAGCAGTAGAAGCAGAAGTGTTACATGTGGGAATCTCTTTGTCACTGCTGACGGCTGCAGGAGCAGTAGAATTAAGGAGCAGAGGACGGTGAGCGAGGGGTGGATGCTGCACTCTTCCACCAGACAGGTCATGCAAGCTGTTGGGATGCGATTGTCATTCAGCATGCATTGTCACTTTGTAGGCTGAAATCTCTCTATGAAACAAATTTCTCTCACCTATAAAGCTAGAGGTGCTCCTTACACAAACCAGCCCTAATTCACTGCACCAGCCCCGGGCAGGAGCTCCTACCTCATGACTTCAGAGTAGCCCTTCGCTGCAGCGACGTGAAGAGCCGTGGCACCCGTGCGAGGCTGCTTTGGATCCTCAATCCTCCCACTGTTCAGCCACTGTCGGGCATCCTGCAGCATCTGCTGCTCCTCTTCTTTTCTTGCCAGGTCTAGGTCTACACCTAAGAGGGTGAAGCACAGAGTAAGAGCTTGTGAATTGAATGCTCTCATGGACTTGTTAAACTTACCCTGTTTCATTTGCTGTGCAAGTATTACTAAATTATTTGTATTCTTCCACAAAAATATCAGCAAAAGCATCTTCCAGGAGTTGGAGAACTCCTGCAGCAGTGCCAGCACCTCAGAGCTGTCTGACTTAAAAACCTGAAAGTTGAGCCACTGGCTGCAAACCAGCCCCACTAACAGCTCAGCTGTGAGCTATGGGTGGAAGGGCTGCATTCTGAATACACAGTGTCCTAAACCAAAACAGTCACGAACAACAGCTTAACACACTGAATTAACTACAGTGAGAGCAGGAGTATCATCTACAGTGAAGATCTGGAGAAATGATCCTAAGGCATCTCCTGCAAGAGCAGCATGGCCCCACCTGTATGGTCACTCAAAACTCAGTGCAATCTACATTGAGGTCATGTAAGGATGATCTAGCAATCAGAAGCTCCATACAAGGCTGATCAGCTTAGAGCTCACTGTCTCAGCAAAAAAACATGAAGGAGAAGATGAGAAATCTCAACAATCAAGGGTGCTGAAGAGCAACTGTCCCCAGGGATTAGTTCTTTCAGTCTAACAATGATGTGACTCCAAATTAAATTATGGTACATTGGGTTTAATAGAGAACAAAAGAAAACACCAACTCAGAGCCTGAGCTGTGAAACCCACTGCCACAAGATGTTGCAAAGATTAGAAATACAGTTGGCTTCAGGACAACAATGAGACAAATTTGTAGTTATTAAGCATAATGCCAGGGCTCCCAGGAAGGACTGCACAGGTTCATGGAAGAGAAAGCCATGGGGGATTCACGAGTACACACAGGCCCATCTGGCTCAGGAATTCCTTGAGGCACACTGGCTGGAGCCTGGGAAGAGGAATCATACATTCTTGTCCTGCTGTTGCAGTCTGCAGCAGGCATCTGCTTACAGCTATTGCTGAAGACAGGCTGCAGAGCCGGATGATGCTTATTTAAAGTTCATCCCACATCTATTCCAGTAGTTAAGATCCTTTCAAACTGTGTCAATGGGAAGCTTCTTGGTGGAAACAGATGGCTGTTTCAGGGCATCTCAGCAGGATGCCACTAACGTGGTGAAGCGATGAAGAAGCCCAGCAGAATCCCATGAAGTGTCAGAACAAATGTCTGCAGCTGAGGCAGAATTACTGCCTTAACGTCCTGTGTGGTTCCAACCATGTTATTACCAAGATCAGGGTTGAGCCCATCTAAGGAACCTGAAGGTGCACAAGTCCATGGGACCTGAAGAGATGCATCCACGGGACTGAGGGAACTAAGAAGTTGAGGCAGTCTGGTGAAGTTCCCACTGACTGGAAAACGGGAAACATAACCCCCATTTTTAAACAGAGAAACAAGGAAGACCCAGGGAATAGGCTGAGGTTACAGCATTGGTAGATAAAGGAAGAGTGACTCATGTCATCTACCTTGGCTTCTGCAAAGCATCTGACATTGTCCCACATGACATCCTCGTCTCTAAACTGGAGAGGCATGGATTTCATGGATGGACCACTTGGTGGATAAGCAATTGGCTGGATGGTTGCACTCAGAGAGTTGTGATCAATGGCTTGATGTCCAAGTGGAGATCAGTGATGAGTGGTGCTCCTCAGGAATGAGTACTGGAACCAGCAGAAAAGCTAGAGAGGGGCTCTTGAAAAGGGCTTGTAGGGCCAGGCCAAGGGGAATGGCTTTAACCTGTCAGAGGGGAGATTGAGATGAGCTCTTAGGCAGAAGCTCTTCCCTGTGAGGGTGCTGAGGCGCTGGCACAGGGTGCCCAGAGCAGCTGTGGCTGCCCCATCCCTGACAGTGTTCAAGGCCAGGTTGGACACAGGGGCTTGGAGCAATCTGCTCTTGTGGAAGGGGTCCCTGCCTGTGGCAGAGATGACTTTGCAGGGGCAGCATGGAGAGCAGCCCCTCATACCTGAAGAGAATGGGGAAATGGCAGATCAGGTGAGCTGCAGAAGAGGTCTAGGGAAGGATCAGGATAAAGCAGATCACTCCAGGCCAGGCATACTCATTTCCTGGTTGCTACTCTTGCAGGACTGTAAATCTCACCTCTGTATTATCAAGTCTTAGTGAAACAAGACCTTTCACTGACACCAGAGGTCAGAACAAAATATCACTTTAAAAGCAAAGAGATCTAATGAATTAGATTTCAGTACCGTGGTGTCTTGCTTTGAAGAATCCTATGGACAGAGGCTGCACACCACAAACCTTCTGCATCTGTTCCACTGTTCTGATACCAAAGAAAATCTGTCTGCTGCCTCCTGGGCCAGACTGCAGATCTCTTCACCTACAGACAGTAAGCCAACAGAATCTTCTTACAGAGAGTCTCAGAGGTCTCACTCTACTGATTTACCTTGTTTCTTTACTTGTTCCAGAAGCAGGTCCTTCATGGCTGCTTCCTCTGCGATGTCTGATGGGACCTCACCTTCACTGTTCACAGCTGCCACGTTGGCTCCATGACTAATTAAGAACCTGTGGGATCGAGACCCATACCAATGCATTAGACCTTGTGTGCAGGCTTTCAGTAAATCAAGTAGCAGAGCAAGATACTTAGCTTTCTCATCCAAGTTCCTCTACCAAATGAGTACCTTACTCTTACCAAATTTCCAGGCTAAAAAAGTTCATTATTAAATGCAATGTCCCTGGTCAGTGGCTCACAGTTGTTGTTTCTCTCTAGGTATTCAAATATGCTAGTCTTGCACTAATCTGACTGATATAGTTACCAGTATGCAAATTTGGGTAACTTTGATATGTGGCTGGTGTGACTGGTAAAGAATAACATCATCTTTCACTTGAAGAACTAGGATTTGGGAAGAAGAGAAAGCAAACTGATAAATTCAAAGAGCTGAGAATTGTTTTTGGAGGAGTACAACACCCAGAAATAAAGGAGCCACAGAAGATGGCTCATTGGTTTTGGTTAGAACATACTGTAGAGGACTATCCTGAGAAATACTATTGTTTTCCCTTATTCTTCTAACATATAATGCGGCCTTTACCTGAGAAAAAGTTACTTCATTTGTGAAACAACCATTTATATTTGCCTGTTCTTTGCTTCCAGTTATTCTAGGACCCCAGGTCGCATATTCGAGCGACTCTTCAAACTCTCAGAGCAACTTTGTCTGTGTACAACAAGTGGTCTGGTATCAGAATCTTCTTTGGGACAAACCAACTGTTAGTCCTTTGTGATTGTAATGAATGCTCAGATCGGATGCAGAATGTTATTTCAAACCCTGGAATCAGAAACTGTGCCAAGAAGAGTCAAATCCTTGTTGGGAGTCACAGCAGGTTACTGCTTTGCTTTAAACATCTACTGGACAAAAGTCTGTTATACTCACTGTCTCTCCTTTCATATCTATTACAGGTTTGTGCTCTCTAGATTATCTCATCTTTCTATGACAAGCCACAGAATTTTACCTGGTTATATCCAAGCTGAGGCCATTATCTTGTGTTGTAAACAGAACAACAAATAAAAGAAGATAATGCTCCAGCTGTAAGTGGGTTAAGTAACTAACAGTTACTTTTATCTACTTCTGCACCTCGTGTCAGGCAGGATGCAAGAAACAGACACATGTGATCTAAATCTGAAGAAAGAACCCATGCTGTTGGAATACTGGTGTGTGGAGCCCAGAATAGTGCATTTCTCTCTCCAGAGTCTCCACACAACTGCAGCACTGCTCACACAGGCCTGCCCATGGTAAGAAAACAGCTGCTTTCCAAAGCCTCAAAACAACGGTAAGCACTGGTGCATCCCCCTTTGCAACTGCTTCAGTGCACCATTTTGGGGTTCAGCATTGCTTGCACTGTGTAAGCCTCAGAGCATCAACTGCCGGTGTTCCTGCTCTGAAGAGGAAGACCTGGAAAGTGTTATGAATACCCAGAACAGCCTGAAACTCACTCACTCTGCTATGTTCAGATAGCCACACGATGCCACGGCATGAAGAGGGGTCCAGCCCTCGTTGTCTTGCTGGTTGACATCAGCTCCATTTTCTACAAGGAACTTCACCATGTCCAGGTTCTCATCTATACAGGCCTGAGGGAGAAGGGGAAGGGGGACATCCAGAGAGGGAAGGGTTGAAGAGAAAAGGAAGAGAGTAAAGAAGTGTTGGTTTTAAATCAAGTGTAAAACCTCCATGTGCAGCTCCCTGGCAGCAGGGAATGTCCTGGGCTGTATTTCCCATTAACACACCTTTGACGGTATCGCACTTTTGGTATCCTGAACTGGTGACCTAAAATAAATTCAGAACTTTCAAAAATCAGTTGTAACGCAGAGAGTCCCCAGGAGGACAACCTGGAAATGTGCTCCAGCTTCACTGCTCACCCACTGCTCTGCTTCCTTCCTCTCTGCCACACTGTTAGCTCGCTGGAGTGAGGACGCACTGTAAAATGATATATCTGCATTAGTTTTAGGGATGGCATCAAATTCCTCTAAGCAAGGCAAGCCATGTATTTATTTAGATAACACTGTTCCCTCCGAATGTCAATGAAATGACATCGTAACATTGAACAATGAGAGATACCATTAGTGGTAGGGATGAGCAGGAAAAGCGTGGGCTCAAGGAGCCTCAGTAAAGCTGAGCATCTGTATACTGGATGCTGCCCTTCCCAGATGTAACCATAGCAGGAGCACAATTTTAAAGGGGTTAAGAACATCTTTATTCAGCAGGATCTATTCATTTTCCTGACTATAACAAAGCCCAACTTTCCCTGTTAGCTCCACAGACCCTGTGAGCTACTGAGAATGACAACCCTTTATTAGATGCTGCATTAACTCCAGAGCCTGCATCCACAGAGCCCTGCCAGCTTTGGAGTTGCCAGAAGAAAACCTAGCTAGATTTTCAAGTCTCAGCAGTTCTGTTGGGTGGAATTCCTCCTTCCTCAAATTCCTGGCTACAGCACGTTCAGCGCTGCGTTTACAGTTGAGTGGAGGCTGCTATTTAAAGGGTGAGCTGGCAACTTAATACATACATCCCAATGCATGTGCCTCAGCTGAGAAGCACCAAGCAGGACCAGAAGGCCTTTACTGCATGTCTATCTCCAGGCAGAAACCTAGTTCCTCATTACCAGCTTGAGTGAAATTCCTCCAAAATCTCAGCACTGGATCCTTTTGCACAGCTTGATGTGGGCACATCTATGAGTCTGAGCATGCTTCTAAAACAAGCAGCTCCAGCTACCCACTCGTATCCGAGCAAGTAATGGAAATGAGGAACTTGTCTCTAAGCAGCACAGGAGACAACCCTGTATTATCCAATGTGTTCACCCATGCTGCATTTCAAAGGAAAGGCCTGCCCTACACCAGGACATTGACATCCAGCTCTTGTTATTTCCACTGCAAGTACAAGCCCCAAATAGCCTTTAACCCACACACACCAGTTACTTCTACATTTGCTTAGTTTACAAGCAGCCCTGCAACACACTTAAGTGTTTAAATCTCTATGAAAGCACCCTCCAGAATACCACCTCCTTGTACAGTGACTTGGCAAATACGAGAACATGGAGGGAACATCCATAGCACTAGGAAAGGAGGCCCCAGGGGCAGACTTAGGCACTCAAGTCCCACCCGAGCCTGTGCTGAAGTGTTAACGTGTTACCTGGCCCTGTTCTAGACTGGTGAACCTTCACCTCTGCCAGAAAAGCACAAGTATAATGCTAGAAATAGTTTGCTACAGACCGATCCTAACGTAGAATGGATTGGCTCCATCCATCCTGCTTGGTCTGTCACCTCTCTCCCACCCTATTTCAGCCAGCAGAACTATAAAAGAAACACAGTCAGAAAAACCCAAACCCAACCTCCCCAAAACAAAACTCCTGGGGACTGCAGACCCTCACACTGCGGTTGGGGGAGTCCCAGGTCCAAGCACAATGGGGTAGGACAGCGTTAGGTTTGAGCAATGTGGATGCAAAGTCAGTCCTACCACCAGCTTCAGATCATTTCGATCATCTGGTCTAAGCCCCTGCTCAAAGCAGGGCTAACTCCGATCTTAGATCCACTTGCTCAGAGCCTGCTCCAGATCATTCTTACTGTCTATGAGGATGAAGACTCCATGGGCCCTGTGCCAGTGCTTCACCATCCTCTCGGTGGGCTCATTTTCTTACTGTCTAATCAGGATTTTCCTTGCTGCACTTACACCTCCTGCTGCAGTCGTACAGATACAGCCTCCATGTCCAGCAGGTGATGAGAGCAGGAAACACAAGCCAGATATCCCTACTATAGAGGGGAATTAGCGTGTGCCCAGTATGCATGTGATTAATTTTAAGACACGTTCCAGAAAGGATCCACTCCTGAGTATCCCTAACAAATCTCTTAGAGGTTCCCGTCCATACCAGCACATTCAAACACAGCAAGAAGGTAACGTATGCAGTGCACACAGAGGTGGACATGGATACACAGAGGAACATCAAATTCCCTCTTCCGTTCACGAGGCAATTCTTTGGGAATTGGAGTCTGAGCCTGCAGAACTATGAGCTAACCTGTATTTACTGCCACCCCATTGCTTGGGATGCACTTCAAGTTCCCCCCCAGCACAGCTCAAGTAAATGACACTTAACAATCATAGAATCATAGAATAGTTAGGGTTGGAAAGGACCTTAAGATCATCCAGTTCCAACCCCCTGCCATGAGCAGGGACACCTCACACTAAACCATGGCACCCAAGGCCTCGTCCAACCTGGCCTTGAACACTGCCAGGGAAGGAGCATTCACAGCTTCCCTGGGCAACCCATTCCAGTGCCTCACCACTCTAACAGGAAAGAATTTCCTCCTTAGATCCAAACGAAACTTCCCCTGTTTCAGTTTGAACCCGTTACCCCTTGTCCTGTCACTACAGTCCCTAACGAAGAGTCCCTCCCCAGCATCCCTATAGGCCCCCTTCAGATACTGGAAGGCTGCTCTGAGGTCTCCACGCATCTTATTGATGAGTTATTTCCTTTTCCTCCAAGAGCAGTTCATGGTTTCTGTTGAGCACAACCACTTCTGCCTAACGATCTAGAGCCTGAAAGAAGCACTTTATCAGCCTGGCTCTGCCCAAGCACCGAGGCAGACGGCTCATGCCTGTGCATACTCACTGCTCGGCTCTATTTGCTTAAGTATTACCTGCAGCTTGAGTGTAAATCTAAATTTAACCTGAAGAATGTCTATATGGTGAGCTTTGGATGGATTTGATAAAGAATTATGTTTACATGGTTTATCATTTCAGCCACCCAAATGCATCACTACATCTGTACCCACTGGGAACTGCCAAGAGAAAAGAGCAGTTCTTGCTCAAGCCACTGGATACACTGGACTCTAAAACTAAATATCTGTTTAGATGAATAAAAGAGCCCCCTCTCCCCCCTTAAATTTATTGCCCTTGTCGCTCTGCTGGTCCTCGTCTTCTGTCGTTCCCATGGAATGCATGCTGGAAACAGAATGGATAATGGGATCAACCCTACATGTTCCTACACAGAAACCTGCAGTAACCTGACTCACCTGGCTGCTGAGGAGATGGAAGTGACCAAGCTCCATGGGTGCTGGCACTCGCTCCTTCCCTAAGGGAACTGTAACACACTTCAGGCTGCTTGCATGCACCATGACAATAACGCCAAGCACAAAGGTGTAGGAAGTCCTTCTGGGAGCCGCCACATACCACCATCACCCCACCCTTCTGCACCTACATACCAAGGCAAGCTGCTGCTCAAGTTGTGTGATCAGGCAGCGTGACACTGCTGGGCAAATATTGATTTTACAATCAGTGAGTGCCACAGGAGAGCAGAAATGAGCCCAGAGGCAAGCAACAGGAAAATATGGAATGACTTGAGGCGGGGTGAACGTGAGCAGGTAGAGCTGTCTGCCTGCCCCACAAAGTGAAATGTAAGGATTTGCTGCATTTCTGTAATATTTACAGAATCCCACAGTGGTTTGGGTTGGAAGGGACCTTAAAGCTCCTCCAGCTCCAACCCATGCCATGGGCAGGGACACCTTCCACTATAGAACAGGTTGCTCCAAGCTCTGTCCAACGTGGCCTCAGAGAGTGAAGTTCATCTGGCAAAGCAAAACGGGTGATCTGAGGTAACTGGAGGAAGGAGAAGAGAACAAAGAGGAAGTAAAAGGGGTAGATGTGTCCTCCCTTAAGTACTATTAATCCTCCAACCTTAAATTTAGGCAAGTGGATAACTTCAGTAACCTGAGAGGATCTATCCCTATGCAAAGTTCTCCTCTTTTATGTGATGCAGCGTTCCTTGGGAACATTGTACAAATAACTGCACTGGACAGCAACATTGCAAAGCGGACACGAGCCCTTCCAACCTCCAAAGGGAGGAAAGAAAGTCAAAAAAGAAGCTGATTGAGAAGTAACATTGCCTTTTCAGTGGGTTATTTAATGTGAGGAAGCACTCCCTTGCCTCAACTGCCCTTGAAATCGCTTCACAAAGAAAATCACACCCATGAATAGGCTTCATTTCAATTTTAGCCACTGGTAACCCTCAGCTGCTTGGTTACCTGTGAGAAAAGGCTCTAAGAAAGGTTAACTACTGAGCACTACATTTGCAATTCCTTCTTTATCTTCCTTCTCTATAAAAACACAACACAACCTTCAAGGTGATGTGATCGGGGCTGACTCCATCAAATCGGAGCCCTTCAGCAGGCCAACCCCTTGCCATCCTTGTATCTCCCTTGGCCGTTGGTTCGCTCCAGGTGCTTCAGGAATGGCACTAACGCCTTACAGTTTCAGCAGTCTTTGCTGCAAGGTGCAGCCAGTGCCCAGAATTACCCACTCAAACCACCCAAAGCTGGCTCTGAGGATTTAAATCCCAGGCATCGCTGGGCAAGCCTCCATGCACAGCTCGTGGTGTTCCTCCAGCTCCTGGCAGCGGCCCAGCATTAGCAGTTTTTCCATCGGGAGGAAGTGCTCACTTTCTAAATGTGCAGATGCGGGGTGCTGGCCTCCCCTCGCGCAGGGACACTGGCGGCACATCGCAGGCATTCCTCTGCCAGCAGCCCTTGCCAAGGCTTGCTTCTGTCAACATGAAGCTGACATTACAACAACGAAACGGGGG